TTTTTCACCAAGCTGCTTGGCAATTGCCCCGTAGCCCTTTCCAGCCTTGTGGAGGTCTAGAATTTAGTCTCTGGTGTCTTTGGACAGCTCTTTGGTCTCAGCCATGTTAGTAGTTGGAGTCTTACTGATTGTGTGGGGTGGACAGGTGTCTTTATGCAGCTAACCACCTCAAACAGGTGCTTCTAATTTAGAATAATAAGTGGAGGTGGACTTTTTAGAGGTGGACTAACAGGTCTTTGAGGGCCAGAACTGTTGCTGATTGGCAGGTGTTCAAATACTTATTTACAGCAGTAACACACAAATTATTAAAAAAATCATACATTGTGATTTCCGGATTTTTTTAAATTTTTTAGATTATGTCTCTCACAGTGGACATGCACCTAAGATGAACATTCAGACCCCTCCGTGATTTCTAAGTGGGTGAACTTGCAAAGTCGCAGGGTGTTCAAATACTTATTTTTCTCACTGTATATATACAACTACTACTTACTACTTGTACTACTATTCCTTCTTCGCGGTTTTTCACTTATCGCGGGTGCCGGGTGGACTGAGAACGGAAAGCCCCACGATAAATGAGGGACTACTGTACTTGAAGAAACCCATGTAATGAGTTACACAATAAAGTGGCGTATTACGTATACGTGTACATAACTTAAACGTAAAACGCTTAAGGTCTAAGAACAAGTATCGCTGTGTATTTTTTTTATAAATAAAAAATGTGTTTCTACACAACTGCGCCCTATTTATGTAAAATTTTAATTTTCTTTCTAAATTTAGCGGGCGCGGCTTATATTCAGATGCGCCCAATAGGCCAGAAATTACAGTAACTACAATGGATTTTCTAATTAAATTATTTACTGCTTTTAAAAAAGTATTTAGTATTTTTATTATAGTTTTCACAGTTTGAAAAATTACAAATTTATGACAAAAGCAGAATTATATATTTGAAGCATTTTCATCAGTTAAAGCCGTTTCGCGCTCGGATCACGGAATTGGTTCCCGGTTCTCCAACACCTTTTTTTTTTTTTTTCTTTTTCTGACCTTTAAAGAGCCTTTCAGATGAAGTGGATGTTTCAACCGATTAAAAAAAACCAGTGTTTGAAGCAGGATGTTGGGGAACGGCGAGGAGGGGAGTTACTTTTCTTTGCCGTGCCCAAGGCTGTTCATTATCAACAGGAGGGATGGTAATCATTGAAGTGATCCACTTTTAATTTGGAGAATGAATACTTCTGTTCCTCACTTTGTGGCCTTGTTCTTCTTTAGCCCACTTAGTGGCCCACTTCTGTTCGCCGAGGACAATTGATTTTTAGGGCTAATAGTCAGTTTTATACTTGAAAATGTTCCGCATTTCTACGAAACACTTACCTTCTTTTAAATAGTTTCTAGATAATGTCAAACATATAAAATTAGACAATTTGGTGTCAATATTAAGAATTGTGTGTAGCATTTGAATGAGTGCCCTACATTACAACCTCCTAGCCTAGTTTGACTTTGGTCTGAAGTGTCTATTTAATTATAAAGTCGTAAACAGAACATTGAAGAGCCTGGAGCCGCTGTGAGCATCAGGCCTCTACGATTAGGTGCTCCTAAATCCTGGTCCTTGACGGTCGCTGTCCTGCAGGTTTTAATTGTTTCCCTGCTCTTCGGCAGGTCTTCAAGTTCTGCAGAAGCCTGTTTATCACTCATTTGTTCACGTCAGGTGTGTTGGAGCAGAGAAACATCTAAAACGTGGGATAGTGGCCCTCGAGGGCCAGGATTGAGTCCTACAATATTTTGATAAGATTCACCTTATGTACCTGGATTTAAAAATGCTCCAGGATCCCATGATGTTTGGTTTATGGTCCCCCATTGTGGAGCAAAGAAGGGAAATTGGACATACCGTGTGTCCATGTGTGCATGTTGTGAGCATGATAATTTGGAAAAACAACTTCCATTTTGATGTGTGTCTACATCTAGGTGTACGGAAGGTCCCTATCAAAAGTTGGGTTTCCAAGTCAGAATCCAAAATGGCCACCACTATCAATTGAAGAAATGACACTTTTTAGTTTTTACACTACTTAAAAGTATAGTTTCTTCAAACGATTGGGATGACTTAAGAAAAATCAATGGTGCCAAGGCCACCATTGGCCACCCACAGGTTGTGCCTGCAATAATCCAGTCTAGACGTGACAAATGCATGAACCAGTTTTTCTGCATCATTTTTTAGATGTTTCTAATTTTAGTGATATTATGCAAGTTGAGGAAAACAGTCTTGGTAACTTTAATATAGGGATTAAAAGACAAGTCCCGATCAAAACCAACACCAAGGTTTTTCACATTAGAACTGGAGGCCAAATTAATGACATCCAGTGGAAATGAAAAGCTGCAAAGTCTATTTTTAAGGTGATCTGGTCCAAAAACCACAAACACTGTCTTGTCTGTATTTAAAAGCAGAAAATTTAGGGTCATCCAAGTTTTTATGTCTTTAAGCTGTAGCTTAAGTTGTAGCTGATTGGATTCATTGGGTTTAATGGACAAATATAATTGTGTATCATCAGCATAACAATGAAAATGTTTTCCATGCTGTTAAACAACTTTACCTAATGGAAGCATATACAAGGTAAAAAGTATTGTTCCAAGCACTGAGCCCTGAGGAACTCCACGACTAACGTTGGTGTATGAAGAAGATTCATTATTTACATTTACAAACTAGACTCTATCAGATAGATATGATTTAAACCATTTTAGAGCTGTTCCTGTAATTCCAACATGATATTCAAGCCTCTGTAGTAAAATATTGTGATCAACTGTATCAAATGCAGCACTGAGGTCTAACAGGACCAGTATAGACACCTGTCCGTTGTCAGAGGCCATGAGAATATCTTTAGTAACTTTCACCAGTGCAGATTCAGTGCTGTGGTGAGCTCTAAACCCTGACTGAAACTCTTCAGATTATTTCTTTTCAGATGTTCACACAAAAGATTTACAACTATTTTCTCAAATTTTTTTAAAATGAATGTTAGATCGGATATAGGTCTGTAATTCACCAGAATTCCCGAATCAAGATCAGACTTCTTAAGGTTTAATTACATCAACCTTAAAGCGCTGTGGTACGTAAGTGCAACCATTTAACAAAAACAATACCACAGAAAGAGAAAAAAAGTAGGGGCTCCCGATCTTGAAGTCACACGCTTATAACAATCACAGTGGTTTATAAAAGTATTTACAGTCAGGTATAAGAACAATCCAAGTAACAGAAGACATTTTGTGTAATTATAACAAAAAATAAACACAACCCGGTTACATTCACTAGAGACAAATTAAGCAAATACAAAATGGGGGTATTAATTAGGGGAAATGCCTCTTTAAACAGTTTAATTGGGATGGGATCCAGCAGAGGGCGGCACGGTGTCAGTTTGTAAAGCTGCTCCCTCTCAGCGAGAAGGTTAATGGATCAAATTCCAGTCGGGGACCTTTCTGAGTAGAGTTTGCTTGTTCTCTCAGTGCATGCGTGGGTTTTCTCCAGGTACTCCGGTTTCCTCCCACAGTCCAAAAACATGCATGTTAGGTAACTCTAAATTGTCCCTAGGTGAGAGAGAGAGAGTGAATGGTTGTTTGTCTCGTTTGTCTCTATGTGTCCCTGTGATGGACTGGAGACCTGTCCAGGGTGTCCCCCACCTCTCACACAGTGATAGCTGCAACCCAAAAAAGAAGAAGCAGGTAATAGATGATGGATTGATGGATGGAATCCAGTATACACGTTGATGGTTTATATGAAGCTATTATTTTTGACAATTCAAAGAGCTCAACAGGATAAAAACAGTCCAAACATAAACCAGGTTCTAGTGACATTTCTAAAGCTGCCTCATCTGACAGGGAATCGGAGGCAATAGTAGGAAGGATGGTGTGAATTTTCTCTTGAAGTCATTTTATTCATAAAGAATCTCATGAAGCCATCACTGCTTATACCTGTAGGTATCCATGGCTCAACAGGGATATGACTTAATTAGTCTAGCTATAGTACTGAACAGAAACCTGGGGTTATTTTTATTCTCATCTATTAAAGATGAACAATATAGCCTGCAGTTCTAACTTTACGGAGAGCTTTCTTATACGTCAGCAGGCTATCTCTCCAAGTTAAATAAAATTCTTCCATGTTACTGGAGCGCCATTTTTTTCCCCCAGCTTTCCAGATGCCTGTTTGAAAGTATTTAAATCAGAATTGAACCATGGAGCCAGCTCAACTCACAGGGAAAATAAACTCTGGTACGTTGACGCTCCTACTCATGGGATCTTGGCTGATTTTCTTTGATGTTCTTCTACCATACAAAGAAGCATAATGTTTGAGGTGTGCCTTAAAATACATCCACAGGTGCGCCTCCATTTAGCTTCAATATTGTCAACTAACCATTCGAAAGCTTCCATAGCAATGACTTCATCATCATCAGGACTTTCCCAAACCCTGTTTAAAGACTTGGTGTATGCACTCTTGTGACTTTTAAGAAAGAAATTTAAGCAAAACTCTAGATAATGTCAGGCAGTGAGAAAAATGGCTCTTTTATATAATGTTTGTATACATCTAGCATATCCTGACTTAATAATTGACTGCAGGATCTGTTTTTTTTTTTTCAGAGCCAAGTAACCTGACCCTTTTTCCATACCTTGTTTTAGGTAAAACCTGGTTGTTGAATGAAGGAGTCAGTGGAGGTAAAAATAGATCTTTCACTCTCTCGCTCCCTCTCTCTCTTTGGGAGCCTGGTGGCACCGCCTCCACTCCATGCGTAAAGACGCATTAAGAAGTGGCACAGCGGCTGATAATCCAGACCTGAAGGTTCATTCATGGTGTCAGCTGAGCTCCAAACTTTACACCAAGCTGCTCTCCTCATAGATCCACGCGGTCTGCTCGCAGAACCAAAGCTGTTTGTATTTTTTGGTGTGTCTTAGGCAGACGGAGGATCTTGATGGGATTCGGCACCTGGGCACAGTTGGACTTTGACGCGTCTCGAGGCTGAATGGACACCATGTCTCCGCAGCAGCAGGAGAGTCTGAACCAGGACGGCGGGCAGCAGGAACACAAACCGGTACGTGTTTGGGTCTTGGTGCGCTGGAGTTGATAAAAACCAGGTCCAGAAAGGGAAAGGTCCGTTCTGGGTGCAAGACTTCCACCAGTCCCCATAAACAAGCTCTCGGTTGTTTTGGGAGGATTTAACATCAGTAACATTTTATTTTAATACTCAAAAACTCAAAATTTAAATTATAGATTATAACCCCATGTTTCCCTGAATTAAACCAAGTTAAGACTTGGGTTTCATGTACAGATAATGTAGACCGATTGATTAGGTGTTTTTTTATGGACATGTTTAAATAATGCAACAAAACAAAGAAAATATTAAAAAGTCAGTAAAAACTTGGCAATGCTCAAAAAGGAGGAGGAACAGGGGTGTCACTGGACATAAAGCCATACGGGAGCACAGCCCAGAGCATCAAGTTACTTCATTAAACAGCAAGATTCTCATATACTTTGTAAGTACCTTGTAGCTACCCCTCTACTTGCTCTTTAAGAACCCCCATTTCCACATGGGTGTATCCCAGGTGCGATGGGTTAAATGCAGGGAACTAATTTTGCCATTGTATGGGAACATACAATGATAACACATAGCACTTATTATTATTGTACCCAGTAATCACCTGTAATACCATGTATCCCTATAAGTACCTTGTATGTATCTTCATAGGTATCCAATATGCACCTGAGTGAGTATCTTGTTCAGAGTACATATGGGGGTACATACGGAGTACTTACAAGTTGTAAGTACTTCATATGTACCACCATAGATATTTTGTATGTACCACCATAAGTACCTTGTATGTACCCCCGTAGGTACCCTGCTTTTATTCCCATAGGTACTTTGTATATACCCTCATAAGTATCCCTACAAGTACGTTGTTTTAACTCCTTAAGTACCCTGTATGTACCCCTGCAAATATTTTCACAAGTGCCTTGAATGTACCCCTTTAAGTACCCTGTATGTACTCCCTAAGTACACTGCACTCAATCCAATTTGTACCCTGTATGCACCCCTGTATGTATCCCCATAAATACCTTGAATGTACCCCTTTAAGTACCCTGTATGTACTCCCTAAGTACCCTCTATTTAGTCCTGTTAGTACCCTGTATATACCCCTGTACATATCCCCATAATTACTTTGAATGTACCCCTTTAAGTACCCTCTATGTATCCCCTAAGTACCCTGTATGTACCCCTGTACGTATCCCCATAAGTACTTTGAATGTACCCCTTTAAATACCCTCTATGTATCCCCTAAGTACCCTTTTATGTACTCTTGTACATATCCCCATAAGCACTTTGAATGTACCCCTTTAAGTACCCTCTATGTAATCACGTCGATTCAGATTTATTTTTAGAGCACATTTAAAACAGAAACTGTTACCGAAGTGCTTGTATGTATCCCCTAAGTACTCTGTATGTACCTTTGTACATATCCCCATTAGTACTTTGAATGTACCCCTTTAAATACCCTCTATGTATCTCCTAAGTACCCTGTATGCAGCCCCTTAAGTACCTTTTATGTACACTTGTGTCATGCACATAGCCCCATAAGTACCCTAGAAGTACCCTGATTACCTCATAAATACATTGTATGTACCTCCGTGAGTAAACTGTGATTACACTGTATGTACCATGCATGTACCCCTTCAACTACTCCGTTAGTATCCCTTCAAGTACCCCGTACTACCAGTAAAATGTTCCTGGTACAAACTGAGTGGAAAGAACACTCTTATTCATTCCCACCCTTTTCTACCATTTGAACACCAATAATTGTTTTTCTCCTGTTCCTTCTTCCTGCCTGTACTTTGTAGAAACCAGGTGCTGCTTTTAAAAACGGCTCGTGCTCCGCAGCTTCACTCCACATTTAGAAATACAAAAAGTTTCTAATGTTGTACCAACACCAGGATCTGAGCTGTATCTCAGAAGTTATTTGACCCGAGGACAGCAGGAGCGTTACCTTCCATCCTTTCAGGATGTTGTCGGGCGGCCTTTTTCACGTTGCTTTATATAGAAATCACACATTAAGGAACTCAGGTCAGTAAATTTAATGTTGGGGATTTTATGAATAGTAGATTTGTATGATCTCTGTGACCGGTGTTATGGATTACATAAAATAATTAAAGTGTATTGCCTCAAACCTCTGCAGTAAACAGTAGAGGATACGAGGTGATTTGCTTTATTAAGAACATAAAATTATTTTTAACTTTGTAATACATAGTTTATCAGAAAAAAATATCACCATAAAGGGTAAATAAACATGGCCAACGTACTGACACAAGGATATAAGCGATGAAAAACAACCTAAAACTTGATCTGAAGCGCTGGAATTCACATTTTACCACTTAAGTTGAATTTTCTTGCACTTAAACTCGGTCGTATTTGCATTTACTCAACAGACGTGAGGACCAGACTCGATGAGTTTTTATAGTTTTAGACGCTTTCTCTCTAAATTGAAAACTTTTTGATTTGAAACCCGTTTATAAATTATGTGCTCTGATTCATTGTCATAATAAATTAACCGTAGCTGCAACTTTCCATGGGATTAAATTAGGGATACGCAATATTATCGGCTGATATTAGCGATAAAGTTAAATATGGGACATTCCATCAAAATAATTAACTGATATTAAAGGTACTGCACGGCACTTTGAGCTGCCTTTCGCATGAAGTAAATAAAATTGATTGATTGAGATATATGTATATATACATTATATAAAGCACTGTTTCTGTATGACAACCCAGTGACAAGGATACCTGCATCGCCAGAACAACATTTTGACATTACGCGTGCTATTGAGTTTAGATTTGTGGAAATTTACACTGTTCGAGTGTTGTCATTGTGTTAGAGAGAGCAAATGAATAAATTTGACATTAAACATAATCCAAGTTGAAGTGTTGCATCATTTTCAGCCCTTTTTGGCATCTGCATTTGGTAGCAGGTTAAACTGACAAAGACCATGCAGATTAATGTAGTATTTTAATTCTACAGCAGAGAAAGCTATGTAGTCTCTGTAAGTAGGTCTAGGGGAAAAAATATCGGTATTGGTATCGGTTATCGGCCAAATAAGTTTTAACATATCGGCATATCGGATATCGGCATATCGGATATCGGCATATCGGATATCGGCCAAAAATCCAATATCATGCATTCCTAGATTAAATGATCATTTGAAGACTAAATGAAAATATATTGAAATAAATCTGGAATTTGAAGTTTTGAATTTTGGCCCACAACAGAAATTTTAAATATAGTTGGAATATATATATATATATATATTTATATTTATATATGCATATTCTTGACTGAAACAACCCGATTCCACTGCTGTACCATAACTAATGTCACCTGGACATGTAAGGATGTATAAAATGTTTGTTTCTAAAAGACAATTTACAGAAATTTGTTTTGTGTTTCTGTGGATAAGTTGGCCAACCCCTCCCACCCCCCACCCAATGATTAAATAACGCTTTAATAGTTAGCTTCAGAGTCATTTGAATTCATTTTCTTTGCTCCAAACAAAGAACAGTGGTTTTTTGTGTTGTGCAATTTACAATTTTCATTTCTTTGATGAATATAAAGACGAAATCCTTGAATAGTTTTGATCCAGTCGTGCACTTAGAAAAGGATCGCAACAACAAAGAGGACTGAAAAAATACATGCCGGTAGTTCTCTAAAAGTTGGGCGGTTGACGCATTGATGCAGTTAGTGACATCATCATTTGCAAATTAGGGCATTATATTTGTTCTTTTTACAAACTTAGGCTCAAACTCATTATCTGCCTATGATAAAACAGTTGTTTTTGTTTGGGTATAGTATAGTTTATCCAAAATCCTGGACATTTCTGCCATCTTTTCAACCCTACCTGGCAACCACCGAGTCAAAGCGCTGATGTGAATTCTTCCACTTTGAGCTCCTTTAGGGTGACATAGACTTCTGTCACCAGCTGGATGTTTGCATAACAAACACCAGCCTATGATTCGAGGAAAACGCCTGCATTTAAAGAAAACCCATTAACTTATGTAAACGATACATCATCCAGCTGTTCCTACTCATTATTGCCCATAAGAAGTGGAAAATGCAACATGCAGATGAAGTTTTAGTCTATCTCCTTTTGTTAATAATACTCGCTGACTATAGCTTTTTGTGTGAATGTGCCAAGTCAAGAAGACCTAGAAATACCACCGGTTAACCTTTGAGTCACTGTTAAAACCCGAACAGGAAGTGCGACAACTCCGTCTCTCGTTCTTCGTCTTCTATCGCTCAACTGTAGTCGGGTCGTGGAGGCAGCAGGTCCAGAAGAGAAACTCAGGTTTCCCTCTCCCAGCGACACTTCAGCTCCTCCTGGGGAACTCCGAGGCAATACAGGCCAGAGAAGATGCACAATCCCTTCAGCTAGTTCTTGGTTTTCCTCAGGGACCTTTACCAGTGGGACATGCCACGAAAACCTCCAAAGGGCGGCGTCCAGGAGGCATCCTAATCAGGTGCCCGAACCATCTCAACTGACTCCTTTTAATGCAGAGGAGCAGCGGCTCTACCACAGGTGAGAGTTGGATCATAGACGGACCAGCAAATCCAGAGTTTTGCCTTTCGACTCAACTCTTTCTTCACCACAATTCCACGATCCATCTCCCAATCCATCCTACCGTCACTCGGGATCAAGACGCCCTGACACTTAAACTCCCGCGCTTGAGGCAGAGACTCCCCGTGACCTGGAGGGTGCATTCAAACCAGTATCTGGTTAAGAGCCATGGCCTCGAACTTATAGGAGCTGACTCTCGTTGAAGGTGCTTTACACTCAGCTGTGAACCACACCAGTGCACGCTGAAGGTCTTGGCCCAAAGATGCCGGAGACGAGACCTTGAAGTTCCCTCCTGTCCACGACTGCGCCTTCTGATCCTGTCCATAAACATCACAAACAGCATCAAAGACGAGGGGCAGCCCTGGTGGAGTCCAACCCGCACCAAGAATGAGCTCGACTTTGTGCCAAGAATGCGGACACTGGTCTTGCTTTGGGTATCCAGGGTCCGGATAGCCTTTAAAAGCCACCCAGGCACCCCCTACAGAATACCTTGAGAAACCTTTTACTCACAAGACGTCGTTTAGAATACGATTGGATCTACTACCCCGTTTTCCTACGGTTTGAGCTGTTTGTCAAAGTTGAGGTAAAAACATTTTATCTTTAGCAATGTTTTGCTGAAATGGGTCACTAGTTTTGTTTAATTCGCCTACATGCACCACTGAAAGATGTTTAAAGTCTAGAAGACAAAGTAATGGTGCAGCTGAAGTGCGAGGAATGTTTCACCAGCTTGCGATGACGGTAAATCAACAAAGTTACGTTGTGAAACGACAAAAATGTGTGGACGTGTGTCTGAGGACGGGAGAAGACTGATGTTTTACCTGGTTCTACCTTTCTTCTTTTGAAGCAGTTCAGACTGAAGTATGGAAATGTTTTTATTTAGTTAACTCTTCGATTGTTTCTGAGGCAACGACTTGTCTGACCGCGGCCAAGAACAAAGTTAAAGCAACTCAAAATTTATGGTAATAGTAGTTTGTGTGCGATTTTTCTTATTAGACGGTTAGTCCAGCAGAAATATAATAATCCTGCCAAATATCCAAAGTATCCCTTTAAGATTGAAGGTTTACTGTGTTCCTTGGTCACAGTCTAATTAATTACTACATAAGTTATAAACTAAGGTTAAATCTACAGGAGATGTTAGCAGGATAAACTGCTTTTCATGATCTCCAGACATTTTCCTTTTAAGTGTTAACCCTCCTGCTGCCCTTTGGTCACAACGACTGAGGCCTTATGAGCAGCAGCAGGGTTACACATGTCTATCTCTAGATTAATTGAAGAAACCTTATTTACACTTTGAAAGGAAATAAAAAAGGTCAATAAGTGTACGTAGGCTCCATTTACTTATAACACACAAGTACTGGAATGTTGACCGCGGGCTGACACTCGTCTGTCAACTCCGTTTACCATTTTACAACTGACCAACTTGCCTCTCAAGGTCCATTCCTTTAGCAAAAATGACAACACTAAATTGAAGTAAAGCTTAATAAAAAAATATTTTTGGTAATTTCATCACTGTGACCACATTAGCATGCTGTGATTAGCAGTTTGCTCAAGTAGCTGCTATCTGTGACACCTCAGGGCTGTTACCTCGGTTCCCAATATTTTACATTTGATGGACATAAAGCTGCAAACTTAACTTTAAAGTAAAGAATTGTCCCGTATCCGGAAAAAAAAAAAAAAAAAATCTTCTAAAGTTGATGATAAACTCAGTTCTTTTTTTAAAAACTAAACTTATTTAGTCAAATTAGATCAGAAGCATCACATTTTTTTCCTGTATGACAAGGTGTTGAACACACAATTGAAGCTTGCAGGTTGTTTGTTTGTTTAAGCTACTTTTTTTTGGGACAAATTATACAACTTTTTATTTAAACTGACAGCAGATCACAAACTAGAATAATTGCATTTTCTGCAAAAAGACTGTGTGAATGCTAATACTAAGTTGGTAAACCTAAAACAATTACAGCATAAACTAAAATTAGCTAAACAAATAATAACTGCTAAACTAACAGAACAGTAGCTAGAAGCTGAAACTGGTTAAAGCTATTTGACATTAGAAAACTGCTAGCTAAAGCTTTATGCAGCAAAAGGCTAGTTAAAACCTAAAAGTAACAAAATGCTTGCTAAAAGAAGCAAAATGCTAGGTAACAGTAAAAATAAAAAAAAATTCAAACTAGAAGCTATAAGAGCAAAAGCTTAGCTAAAATAGAAGAACATTGCCTAGAAGCTAAAAGTAGCAAAAACCAAACTAAAAAGTAAAAGTATAAAAACAGTAGCTAGAAGTTAAAAATAGCAAAAGTCTAGTTAAAAACTAAAAGTATCAAAATGGTTGCTAACAGGAATAAAATGCTACGTAACAGCAAAATGTACAAAAAAGGAAACTAGAAGCTAAAAATAAAAAAGGTTAGCTAAATACTAAAAATAGAAAAACATTGGCTAGAATGTCAAAGTAACAACAGTCTAGCTAAAAACTAAAAGTAGCAAAACATTGGCTAGATGCTAAAAGTGGTCAAAGAGAAAAGTCAAAGTAGCAAAACAGTAGCTGGAAGCTAAAATTAGCAAGAGAGTGTTTATAAACTAAAAGTACCAAAATGTTTGCTAAAAGGAGAAAAATGCTAGGTAACAGCAAAAAGAAAAAAAAATGGTAGCTAGAAGCTAAAAGTAGCAAAAGATTAACTAAAATCTATAGACAGTAACGTATTGGCTACGAGTATCAAAAATCTAGGTAAAAACTAAAAGTAGCAAAATGCTTGCTAAAATTAGCAAAATGCTAGATAACAGAAAAAAATAGAAAATGGTAGTTAGAAACTAAACGTGCTAAAAGGTTAGCTAAAAACTCAAAGTAGTAAAACATTGGATAGAAGTTAAATGTAGCAAAAGGCTAGCTAGAAGCTAAAAGTAGCAAAAGATTAGCTAAAAACTATAGGCAGTAATGCATTGGCTAGAAGCACCAGTATCAAAAAGCTAGTTAAAAACTAATAGTAGCAAAATGCTAGATAACAGCAAAAAATAGAAAGTGGTAGCTAAAAACTAAAAGTACCGTAGTAAAACGTTGGATAGAAGCTAAAAGTAGCAAAAGGCTAGTAAGAAGCTGAAAGTAGCAAAAGGTTAGCTACAAAGTATAAAAAGAAAAACAGTAGCTTTGAAGCTTACTGCGTGCATACTTCACAAGAAGTAAGACATCTGTTCTCTGTCTATTTATACATGAAAAGAAACTTTGGGAGAGAACTCCTGGTTTGTCCTCCCACTGCAGCGCAAGGAGAGCATGGTTGTCAGAGCAGATGTTTGTTTTCAGTTGATGTAAGAGTTGTAGAAGAAAAATCTGCTATTTCTGCCATGTACCGAGGAGAAGCGATCATTTATAAGCGATCGCCACCGTTTCTGACACACCGGTGGACAATAACGAGTTTAACTTGTCCCTTCACTCCCTCTACTACTACTTCTTTGTAAGTTTCGTGGGAACATCTGTAAAGATGGCTGTGTTTTCTAACAGCCTCGGCGAGCGGCTCCTCAGTGGAACAGTTGAAGCAAAATGAGAGCCGTGTAGTTCATCCACTTTCATGCATAAACAGGCCCACAAAAGTCTTCCTAATCCTCAGAATAAGAAACTCGAACCATTAAACGCAACAAAACCCTAATAAACTTGGACTATGCAACCGCCTTTCTAAAACAACCCGTAGCTTTAGCTGACAAGTAGGTTAATCTGACACACAATGAAAAAATGTTATGCAATTGTTATTTGTTCCTCGGCTTTAGTCCCACAAATCCTTTAACAATTAGATTAAAGAAACTTATTGATCCTCGTGTGGACAAGAAGATAATAGGATCTCACCTATAAAGCAATATGGCTGCCGACAGCAGCAGACTTCAGTTTCTGTTGATTATTTTTATTAGTCTGGGCTAAACGTCAAACTGTGACGTTCTCTGTGCTTCTTAAGACTTGTGTGAGACCAAAGGCTTTTTTACTTTGTTCAACAAGGTGGTAAAATCAAGACCAATCAGCGCTTTGTATCTCATTTTTAGACGCTGTGCTCGAGGTAACTGACGTTCTTTGAGAAGTTTGAAGTGCAAAAACTTCAAATAATTTTTACTTAGATGTAACTCTTTGTCTTCTATCAGTTTCTTCTTTGTCCTTTTGTTTCAGCAAATGAAGTTTCAGAGTTATCGCCGTCAGTCCGCCCCTTCGATGGTCATCTCCAAGGCTCTGACCAGGTCCAAGACCGTCTCCAGGTACAAGACCCGGGTTTACTTCCTGCTGGCACGTTTGGTTTCACGTCCGGTTGTTTTCACGCTCTCTGACAAATGTAGCCAGAGGTTGTCTGGTCTGGTTTGTCTATCACTTCGAAGGAATCCAAATTGAATTTTGGGTCTTTATTCTTTTATTGTCACTTTGTCCTTTTGTCTCCCTATTGACCCATTTTTCTCCTGATGGTTCCTTTGTCTCATCCTGCGCTTCCTGCTTTAAAATAAACTGATGTCTCTCCCCACAAAATGCAAAACTTAATTTAAAAACTTATCCTGTTTTTCAGCTCGATACAGGCAAACATCTGGCTTGTTCTCCTGTAGCGACACTAAAACATCAGCAGTCCTTGCTCTGGAGCAATGGTTCCCAACACTGGTCCTTGAGGAACACCATGCTGCATGTTTTAATTGTTTCCCTGCTTTGACACATCTGATTTAAATGAATGGGGTGATTAACAGGCTTCTGCAGAACATGAAGTAATTAAATCACTGAATCAGTTGTGTTGGAGCAAGAAAACAACTAAAACAGGATGGTGTTCCTCAAGGACATGGGTTGGGAACCTTGTATTTCTATCCTCGGGCTCGTCGCACTCCGACCAACACCTGAAACTACGTTCTTTAACTCCTCCACCAACTCGCACAACTGGATCAAGTCGAAGTGTTAGATCCACTCTAATAGATAATCCACCTGTTGACAAACCAACCAAAGGATCAGGCGTCTATTAATAGTTTATCTTTGAACATATGGACTGGGAAAGTAAGTAGTTAACTGTGTTTAAAAGCTCGTGGATAGGTTGGGTTGTGTTGATCATCCACTAACCAACCCACCAAGATTGTTCCAGCTGAACAACATGCAAAGTGCCACTGATTCATGGATAAGTTACACTTTTACATCACTATCGCACAATTAATAGTTGAGTATTTTCAGTTATTTGGTAAATGGACTGAACTTGTATAGCGCCTTTCTATCTAGTCAAGATACTCATAGCACTTTACACTACAATCATACCCCTTCTACTAGATCTCTTCAAAGCTAATCTGAATCTGTAGAGACTAATCATAGCTTTTTCACATTTGTACACTGATGGGACACATTGGAGGATATGAGAGGTTCAGTGTCTTGCCTAGACACTTCATCATGTGACTGCTGGTGGAATCGAACCCCTAACTCTCCCAATAGAGGACAACTGCTCTAACCACTCATCCACAACTGCCCCCAAAGTCTTAATGGTCTTAATGTGAGTTGTTTGCGTTTCAGTTCTTCACTGGGCTGTTTGGGACTAGTTGGGGACGTGAAATTACAAGAAAATACGCAAACTAAACTGTTCTACGGGTATTTTTAACATTCAGAACTAGAAGAAACTGCTTCTTTTCCTAGTTTGAGTCAAACCAGGAAGTCCATATTATTCTATAAAGCCAAAGACACTCTCATGTTAAATCAAGGGGTTTCTGGGTAATGCAGTGCACATCTGTCTTTTAAACTGCATGTAGAAAACTTGATAAAGAAACTAAATGGGGTTTCTTTTTCAGAAAGAGATCTTGCTTAATTCTGAATGCCAGGAAATGCCTTGTAGCTGCTACTTTTCTACCAGCCATCATTATGGTGACATTATTTACATGAATGCCCCTGCCAGCTCCTTGCAGATGTTGGATGCTGTCTACCATGGTGCGCTAAGATTCATAACTGGTTGTAACTACAGTACCCATCACTACACTCTGTACTTCTTGGTCAGTTGGTCATCATTATCTACACGTAGGCTCTTACACTGGTACATCTTCATCTATAAGTTACTCTTTGATCTGCTGCCTTCTTATATCTCCTCCCACATGCCACGTCGTCAGTGCAGTTACAGCGTGCACTGTCAATTCAATTCAAAAATACTTTATTAATCCCAAAGGGAAATTATTTGTTGTTGTAACTCGTTGTCCTCATTTCATTAAGAGATGTTATAGATACTGATGGCTGTAGACAGGAAGGATCTCTTGTAAAGGTCCATCCCACAGTGGATCCTAAGAAACTGGCTGCAGATGCCGTCGGATCCGTCTACCCAGACTCGGCTAGTCTCTCGGTTCCCCTGGGCTGTAGGACCGCCCAAATGCCAGGCAGAACTCCTCCTACTGCGTTGGCCACTCCTCCCAGCAGTCTGCCAAGCTCCTCTTCGCTGCGGACAGCCAACTGTAGGTGCCAAGTGACGATCCTGTCCTTCCGCTGTCATGAGCCACGTTTCCTGCAAGTTCCAGGATCTCAGTGGTCAGGCACTCGAGCACAGCTGGCAGGTAGATGAGAATGCGTCCACAGAACATCCTTTCAACTCATTTGAGATTTGGGGCTGTAGTTGAGATATTATTTGAGCTTTTGAGATGTTAATCAGCTGCTGTTGGTTGTAGAAAACTGCCTTGTTGCCATGGTTACACATCAAAACATTTGTCCAAAACTAAAAAAGTTTCAGTAAAAATCCTTCCAGCTGCTCAGCATCCGATACCAGAGGAAACAATCATCCAAAAAAAATGTGATTTACATCCAGGAAAAGAGGAATTAAAGTTTCCAAAAGCAAAATCTCTGAATTAAATTAACAGAGCGAACATGCAGCCACCTTGAGCGGCGCAATTCTAGAACACAGGGATTCATTACCTGCAGTGTCCCCTCAGTGCAGAGTGAACTTGGCAAAAAAGCCTTTTCTTACTCAGCTCCTGTAACACATTGCAAAAAGATCTGAAGCTGTCAGCTTTGATTTCTTTAAGGGATTTTAAACATTTGATAAGTTCAGTAGAAACATCAAAGCAAATATGTTTTAGCATTGTACCTTGTTTTATATGCTATCTTAATTTGACTGAGTTCATAACTTCTTTTATTTGATTTTAGTATCTTTTTGTTAAATTGTTGTCTGTACTTTATATGTTGTCTGTCTAAAACTGGTCCCTCCTGTAAATGAGTCTTCGTGACTCAACGAGACTAACCTGTGCAAATAAAGGTTGAATGAATGTGGTCTAAGACGGAACTTCCTGTTTTCTCGAAGCAACGTTCGCCTGTTTGTTTCCATCCCAGAGAGAGCTTCCCGGTCCCTGTGAGTCCAGAGACGTGTTCACTGGTCCAGTCCTTCCTGACCGTCTCCGGCAGGTTCTTCCTCCTCTACGGACACGTCCAGCTGAAGACGGGCATGCAGACGCAGGACAGACACCTCTTCCTGTTCACCGACGTTCTGCTCGTTGCCAAAGCCAAGTAGGAACGCAGTTCGATTACCTTTCTGCCCGCCTCGCCTGTAGTTCTAATCGGCGTGTGGGTGTGTGTTCAGATCGGCCAACCACTTCAAGCAGAAGCTGCGGGTGAGTGTGTGCGAGATGTGGACGGCGGGCTGCATGGACGAGGTGTGTGAGGGAAGCACGAACCCGGAGAGGAGCTTCGTCATGGGCTGGCCCACCTGGAACTGCGTCGCTATGTTTAGGTAATGCTAGGCCTGTCACGATAATAAATTTTGCTGGGCGATTAATTGTCTCAGAAATTATTGCGATAAACGATAATATTGTTTGAAATTTGACAATAATTAGTCATTGTCAAATTTAAGAGGAAATGTTGGTTAATTTTTGTGTGTAGTACCTTTTTTTGACCACCGGATGGCAGGATAAGACTGTTTGAACCGAAGGATGGATAGTGAGGAAGGAGCAGCGTCTCTTTAAGAAAAATGGGAGGGAGGCCCCTTGACATGACATAGGCTGTCACTCCTTCCTGTGTTTTGGTTCTCAAAATGGCAGACACTAGGTGATTTGAGCTCTTTAGCATTTTTCACACAAAGCTTTTAATAAAAATGTCAGTAAACAAGTTCTCAGCTTATTTTTGCAGAGAAAAATGACTTTAGATGAAGGCACGGGTTTCAACCGTGAATTTTGGAGCTTTGACAAGACGGAGGATGCGAGCTGGTTCAAGGGATGGATTTATTAAAGCGGACATATTGAGATGTGCTTGTAAATCACAGAATTGCCCAGGATAAGAAGCGGTGCGCTCATGTCCCCCCTGTAGCCAAGGGATTTAAAAAGGGAATGTTTGTAGTTTTAGAGATGAGTGTTTTTCTGGACTGGAACAGAGAACGCAGGTAAACCTAAATGTTTTGGTGCAAGATATTCAAGTACCATTAGGTAGGAGTTACACTGTAAAAGAACAGAGGTTGTTTTTTTTTTGATAGATGGATCCTGGCGAGCAAAGGGAGCAATTTTATCCACCATCAGGCACAATTGGCTAGGGGGTGGCCTATGGTGGCCTTGGCCCCTGTAGTTTATTATTTGGCCACCCCAATCTTTTGAAGAACCTATACTTTTAGGCAATCTAAAAACTAGAGAGCATAGTTTCCTCAAATGATCAGAGTGGCCAGTTTAAATATATTTGACGGTGGACATCTTGGATTTTTAAGTGGCAACCAAATTTTTGGAAGGAACTTTTTTCACACCTAGATGTAGCCAAAATGAAAGTTGGTACCTCTTTTCATTTTCAAGTTAATAAAAGTGTATATATATATATATATATATATATATATATATATATATATATATATATATATATATACACACAAACCGGATTCCAAAAAAGTTGGGACACTAAACAAATTGTGAATAAAAACTGAATGCAATGATGTGGAGATGGCAAATGTCAATATTTTATTCGTAATATAACATAGATGACAGATCAAAAGTTTAATCTGAGTAAATGTAACATTTTAAAGGAAAAATTTGTTGATTCAAAATTTCAGTGTCAACAAATCCCAAAAAAGTTGGGACAAGTAGCAATAAGTGGCTGGAAAAAGGAAATTGAGCATATAACGAACAGCTGGAAGACCAATTAACACTAATTAGGTCAATTGACAACATGATTGGGTATAAAAAGAGCTTCTCAGAGTGCCAGTGTCTCAGAAGCCAAGATGGTAAGAGGATCACCAATTCCACCATTGTTGCACAGAAAGATAGTGCAGCAATACCAGAATGGTGTTACCCAGCGTAAAATAGCAAAGACTTTTAAGTTATCATCATCAACCGTGCATAACATCATCAAAAGATTCAGAGAATCTGGAACAATCACTGTGTGTAAGGGTCATGAACTCTACTGGATGCTCGTGATCTCCGGGCCCTTAAACGTCACTGCACCTCAAACAGGAATGCCACTGTCAAGGAAATAACAGAATGGGCTCAGGAATACTTCCAGAAAGAATTGTCAGTGAACACAATCCACCGTGCCATCCGCCGTTGCCAGCTGAAACTCTACAGTGCAAAGAGGAAGCCATTTCTAAGCAAGCTCCACAAGCTCAGACGTTTGCACTGGGCCAGGGGTCATTTAAAATAGAGTGTGGCAAAATGGAAGACTGTTCTGTGGTCAGATGAGTCACGATTTGAAGTTCTTTATTGAACACTGGGACGCCATGTCATCCGGACCAGAGAGGACAAGGATAGCCCAAGTTGTTCTCAACGCTCCGTTCAGAAGCCTGCATCACTGATGGTATGGGGTTGCATGAGCGCTTGAGGCATGGGCAGCTTGCATGTCTGGAAAGGCACCATTAATGCAGAGAACTATGTTCAGGTTCTAGAACAACATATGCTCCCATCTAGACGTCATCTCTTTCAGGGAAGACCCTGCATTTTTCAACACCATAATGCCAGACCACATTCTGCAGCAATCACAACATCATGGCTACGTAGGAGAAGGATCCGGGTACTGTAATGGCCAGCCTGCAGTCCAGATCTTTCACCTATAGAGAACATTTGGCGCATCATAAAGAGGAAGGTGCGACAAAGAAGGCCCAAGACGATTGAACAGTTAGAGGCCTGTATTAGACATGAATGGGAGAGCATTCCTATTTCTAAACTGGAGAAACTGGTCTCCTCTGTCCCCAGACGTCTGTTGAGTGTTGGAAGAAGAAGGGGGGATGCCACACAGTGGTAAAAATGGACTTGTCCCAACTTTTTTGGGATTTGTTGACGCCATGAAATTTGGAAACAACAGATTTTTCCCTTAAAATGATACATTCTCTCAGTTTAAACTTTTGATCTGTGATTTGTGTTCTATTCTGAATAAAATGTTAGATGTTGGCATCTCCACATCATTGCATTCAGTTTTTATTCACAATTTGTTTAGTGTCCCAACTTTTTTGGAATCCGGATTGTACTTTTTTGGGTCCAACTAAATAAATATTTAGTATGAGGACAGCAGGACAGTGGTGAGATGTGCTGTAGGTGTGACAGACAGCTTCAAAGTGGAGGTGGGAGTGCATCAAGGATCTGCTCTGAGCCCCTTCTTGTTTGCTCTGGTGATGGACCGACTAACAGATGAGGTCAGGCAGGAATCCCCGTGGACGATGATGTTTGCAGATGAAGTGATCTGTGGTGAGAACAGGGAACAGGTGGAAGAGAACTTGGAGAGGTGGAGGTACGCACTTGAAAAAAGAGAAATGAAAGTCAGTCGTAGTAAGACAGAGTACATGTGTGTGAATGAGAGGGAGGAGGTGGAACAGTGAGGCTACAAGGAGCAGAGGTCACAAAGGTGCAGGACTTCAAGGACTTGGGGTCCACTGTCCAGGAACAAGGGGAGTGTGGTAAAGAGGAGAAGCAGAGAGTCCAGGCAGGATGGAGAGAATGGAGAAAAGTTTCAGGAGTGATTTGTGACAAAATGGTGTCAGCAAAGGTCAAAGGAAAAGTTTACAAGACAGTGGTGAGACCAGCTTATGTTGTATGGTCTGGAGACAGAGACATGGACAAAAAGACAGGAGACAGAACTGGAAGTGGCAGAAATGAAGATGCTAAGGTTCTCCTTAAGAGTGACAAGGATGGATAAGATTAGGAATGAGATCATCAGATGTACAGCACAGGTTGAACAACTGGGAGATAAAGTTAGAGAGGACACACTGAGATGGTTTGGACATGTCCAGAGGAGGGACAGTGGTTTGGACATGTCCAGAGGAGGGACAGTGGATATACTGGTAGAAGGATGTTAGAAATGCATCTGCCAGGAAAACAACAAAGAGGAGATGTATGGATGCTGTTAGCGAAGACATGGAGATAGATGGAGGGAGGACAGAGGACACAGAGGACAGAGTGAGATGGAGGAGGAGGACTCGCTGTGGAGACATCTGAAGATGGAAAAGCTGAAAGAAGAACTGAATAAATATTTAGGCTCTGAAAGATACAGTTCAGATTCTCTATTCTGTCCCTGGTTGACAAAATAGTTCCTTAAACCTTAGCGTGACATTCAGGTCCATTTCTTTTGCACTTTGCCGGCGTTGTACTGAAAATCCTATAGCAAAAGAACCACAGGAAGAGTAATACTTGAGGAATGCTTCGCCTTTTATTCCACTCCGTTTGATCAGGTGCGGCTGATGCTCAAATGACGATAGAGATGTTCGAACTCATTCCTGACAAAAGTTCAGCAGTTTGACCCGTACGAGCCGACGTGTTGGTAACTTCCTGTCTGTCTCCTCAGTTCAGCCGAGCAGAAGGAGCGATGGCTCGCCCTCCTCAAGAGGTAAACCTCCTGCTCCGGCTCCGCCTCCTCTCCCTCCGTCAGCTGAGGGAGCCGCTCAAACGAAGCTGTTTCTGTCTCCACAGTCGGATCAAAGAAGAGAAGGAGAACGAAGAGCCTAAAACCATCCCTCTGAGAGTCTACGGGAAGGGAATCAACAGCTTCGCAGTCGTAAGTTTCACGTTTGACGCTCGCAGCGGTGCGTTACCCCCTGATGCTTTCGGCTGATTCTTCCTCAAATTAGACCAAGACGCTCCCGGTCAGCAACTCCGATTCGACCAATGAGGTGATCCGGTTGGCCCTGCAGCAGTTTGGCATTATAGTGAGTATGAAAAAGAGGGGTATTCTGTCTGTTAGCAAAATATTTTGTAAACTAGTTGAAATATTTTAATGAAACTCGCAGAAATTAATGAGTGGATGTACGACTACAGCCGATGAACTTTTGGACTCAACCCAGTTCAAGATGGCCGCCGCAGTCACTCAAACTTAGCGAACGGAAAAGTGGCTCTAACTCGGTGAACGTTATGAATGTTACGCTCAAATTTGGTGTGGTCGTAGCTGAGAGTCCTCCTCAACTCATACTCTGAGCACTAAAAGATCACATGAGAAAAACTTCATTATTAACTATCAGAGTCAACTGTGTTGGTCTGTTAGCAAAATATCTGATGACAAACTGGACAGATTTTATTGAAACTCTCAGAAAGTAATGAATGGATCTACATCTACAAGTGTTTGATGTTTGGAGTCAGTCCAATTCAAGATGGCCACCCCAGCTGATCAGAGTTAGGAAATACAAAATTTGCTTTAAGTCAGTTCAGATGTTGAGCTGTGGTAGTCGCTGAGAGTGGTTCACAGGACGAGCAGGTCTTTAATTCTGTCTCTGTTCAGGGAAACGTCAAAGACTTCCAGCTGTGGGTCGTCTCGCGGAGAGACAACACGCCCTACCCGCTCATCGGTGAGTGCCGACCCGCCGCAGGTCTTGTGTTTTGGTCCTGAAGCAGCCGAGCTCAGTTCAGGTGTGAATGTTTCACACCGCTGGGATCCGGTTGTCTTTTCTACGTTTTTCTGCGCGACTCTTGTCCCGTAAGTTTTGTGCCACTTCAGCAAATCGAAAATCAAAACATTCAGCTCTTTCAGCGTGTGTTTTGGTGTCGGTGCAACTTTAGCCTTTTGGAATATTTAGCCTTTCCTGACATTTTTTGAATTGAGCTCATTTTTCAATCCTTCGCATCTTTAGACGTGTTTACAACCTTTTACTGCTCCTTTCACTTCAGCTTCTTTCAGCTTCCTTCTGCACATTTTAACATTTTTCAGCTACTTTCAGCTGCTTTCTGCTAACTACAACATTTTTGTGCTGCTTCGCTAATTTCAGCTTATTGTGCTCCTTTCAACTTTTTATAAGTCAGCTACTATTTAGCTGTTTTATGTTAGTTTTAGCTTTTTGAGCTAATTACACGTTTTGCACTCATTTAAACTTTTTTCAGCCCAGTTCAGATAAAATGTGCTCTCTCCACTTCCTTCTGATAATTTAAGCTTCTTTCTACCTTTCAGCTGTTTTTGCTAATTTCTGCTTTTGTTCAGACTAATTGGACAGACTTGTTCTTTCTGCTAATTTGAACTTGTTCTAACTTTTCAGCTACTGTTTTAGTATTTTTTAGCTAATTTCAGCTGTTCTCAGCTAAATTCAAGTTTTTCATGGTACTTTTAGCTACTTTCAGCTAAATTAACTTTATGCTAATTTTAGTATTTTCTCTAATTCCACATTTTTTAAACTCCTTTCAGCTCTTTCCACTTCCTTCCTGCCTTTTCAGCTACTTTTAATCTATTTTTTATTTCAACCTTTTTTAGTTAATTTTCTAATTTTTGTGCTCATTTCTGCTTTCTTCAGCTAATTTAAACTTGTTTTAACATTTCAGCATCATTTTAGAATTTTTAGCTAATTTCAGATAAATTCAAGTTTTTCATGTTAATATTAGCTACTTTAAACTTAATTAACTTATTTAAGCTAATTTCAGCTTGTTATGCTCTTTTCAGGTTTTCAGAATCAGAATTAGCTTTATTATCACTGTACTGGGCTACAATGAGTTTGTTTTTCTGCTATTTCAGTTACTATTTAGCTGTTTTATGCTAATTTTAGCATTTTCTGCTAATTCCACATTTTTGGAGCTCCTTTCAGCGCTTTCCACTTTCTTCTGGTAGTTTAAGCTTCTTTCTACCTTTTCAACTACATTTCAACATGTTTTTTTTTAGCTAATTTCAGCAGTTTTTCAGCATATCCTGATGCATGCTCAACAATCCAGGTATAAAAATCTAAAAAAGTTAAGTCTGGTCCTCTGGACATAAAAAAAAAAAGTAGAAACGTTTCGTCTCTCATCCTGAGGACTTCCTCAGTCTGAGGAACTGTTTTCAGCTCAGTCTCTTAAATAGCACCTTCTCAGAGTGGATCAACCAGTTTGCTGCTGACAACCAAAACCAGCTGATCACATGCTCAAGAAGGACCATCAGCCTAACAATGGATCATTAGCACACTGATGGCTGTTTACTGTTCACAGAGGGCTGAGTGATACCAGCAATCACAGCATTGTAAGAGGGGGACAGTTGAACCCGGAGGCCTCCACCCCTGTTTAATGATGGACGATTTCTTCTCACAAAGATGGCCTCCTTTACTTCTCTCTCAAACCATCGTTCCTCTCTGTCCAGGATGTGCACATCTTCATCCCTGAAAGAGTGACCGCTGGCCTGGAGATGAGTGTAGACCACAGAGTCCTGGCCTGATGATGTTGATCTTCTGTGCTGGTCCATCCTTTTGGCCAGTGGCTGTTTAGTTTCTCCGATGTAAGACTGATCACCCTCCTGACACTGAACAGCATACACAACATTGCTCTGTTTGTGCCGGGGGACTGGATCTTTGGGATGAACCAGTCTTTGCCGTAATGTATTTTGGGGTTTAAAAGCCACTGGGACGTTATGTTTCTCTGATACTCCCTCAACATATGGAATGACCACTGGTCTGGGTCTGGGTTCCTCCTTTTCACCTGTTGGCTGACTGGAGTCCTGTTTGGGTTTCTTCTCTGCTTTCAGGAAGGCCCAGTTAGGATATCCACATTGCTCTAGAGCCTGTCTT